AGTATTCATAAGGACCGGAGGAGTATTATTATTTGGAGTCATACGGCTGAAATTTAAAAGCAACGCGGGGCAAGGGCTTATTAGTCATTACCACTTTGGAATGTTCCCATTGTAGAGAACCAGAGATTTTCTTTGTCTATTTATGTTTTTTTTCCCCTTTGGACCAGAAATAAACACCTCAGGTTCTTCAGGAAGGTTTTAAAAAATGATTTTTTTATTGAAATTATTTTAATTTATGGATCCATAAGGTCACTCTACCTTAGTACTTTTTTTATTTTATTATATTTTTTAGAGATTAATTTAAAAATTTTCCCAATAAAAAACAATTTTAAAGGATTCTTCAAATTTTAATTGGTTGTGAGCTGTTTAAAATTTAAATATGGTCCCCCAGCAACACAACATTGTGTTGTCATTGCACTTTCTCTCTCACACGCACATCAAAGTTTTCCTCAAAGTATATTATGTTCCCAGGCACTAATATTTGTTTAGGGTTATTGGACAAATTTTTCCAAAAGCTTTCACTAAATAACGATGCTGGCTCAAAATTTTTTTGAATTTAAAGAATATTTTTATTAGAGTCAATTTTATTTGAGACATTATCAGATATTAAATATAAATATATCTTCCAATAGAAATTTAAATCTTAATTGTGAGGGAATAATCCTTCTGTTAAGATCATTAGATAACATTTAGATTTCAAGCAGACTTGAAGACCAAGCACTTGAATTATTATTGCATTGGCCTCTATTTATTTTCAGAAAATAGTTTTACTGCCTACGCATGAGGCCCTTTTAACATTATACATGTTTATACATGATTTTCAATGCATTATATGAAAATTTAAAATGAAGTAGCCAGTATTTATAGTTTATAAATATTACCACCTCCAATCCTGCATATAAGAGTTTAGACAAGCCTATGCTTAGTTTTATCCTCAACATAACACTTAGATTAATTTTGTTTTTCAGATCTATAATTTTTGTCAAAAAATTTCTTATCAATTACATATATCAAAAGGGCTTCGATTAAAGATAATTTCAAATCCCCCGCCTAATAAGCAGTTTGGCAGGGATAGAATTAAATGGGGATCAACTTTGAATGCTGATTATAGTGTGGCAGAAATGTATGGGTTACTGCGAAATGAACAAGGGTGTGAGGAAGAGGTTTGGAAGAGAATCTGGAAATGGAAGGGCCCAAGAAGAGTGCAGGTGTTCTTGTGGTTGGCTGCTCATGACAGATTAATGACAGCAGAAAGGAGGGGAAAGATGATGGGAGGAAGTGATGCATGTTATAAGTGTGTGGGGAGAAGAGAAGATCTCATGCATGTGCTAAGAGATTGTGAGGTTGCAAAGAGTCAATGGGAAGAGTTGAGAGGAGACACGGTGGATTTAAACTTCTATCAACTAAATGGGAAGGCTTGGATAGAATGGAATTTAAGAAATCTGAATAGTAAATGGGCTTTGACTTTTGCTATCACTGTTTGGCAGCTTTGGAACTGGAGAAACCGCTGTATCTTTGAAGAAAAATTTGTTATACCAGAGGGGAAGAAAAGAGTAATTGAGAAGTATGCTGATGAAGTGCTAAGGGCACAACAGAGTTGTTTTAATGGGACTGACCAAAAGCAGGAAATGTATATCAGATGGAAAGAGCCTAGTGGGGGGTGGATAAAGCTCAATGTTGATGGTGCTTCAAAGGGACGGGAGAAAGTTGCAGGTTGTGGAGGATTGCTGAGGAATAGTGAAGGAAGATGGATTGGAGGATTTGCTAGAAGGTTGGGGGTATGCTCTGCAATTAAAGCAGAATTATGGGGTGTAGCAACAGGTTTAACTCTAGCGAAGGAAAAAAAAGTTCAGAAACTGGTTGTAGAGTGCGATTCGGTAGCTGTAGTACAACTACTACTACAAATATTGGAAGGTGCAGAGATGCAATCAAGCTTGTTAAAATTGATTTGTAAAGATCTGAATTGTTTTCAACAGGTACAAGTACAACATATACATAGAGAAGGCAATTTTTGTGCAGATGCCTTAGCGAATTTAAGTTTATTGATTGAAGATGATATTTGTTTCTTTGAAACTCCACCAAGGTGTGTGAGGAGTTTTTTGTACAGTGATCAGGTGGGAAATTCATACCCACGAGTTCTAAAGATTAAGTAATAAATTGGGCTGATTGCCCCGTATTTCACCCAAAGATAATTTCAATACATATGAGTAAAAAGGATATTTAAGGAAAACTAATATATACTTATTATGAATAACTAATTTAACTAATTTTTTAATATTTATAAATTAGTTATCAAGTTTTTGTATTAAGGATCGATATTAATGTTGTTGTGCTAATCAATTATGATTCATCAGAAATCAATCTTTTAAGTTTTAATAATTCTGATGTTCTGAGGTACAAAAGTCTTATTGAAGATACCTCAATATACACATTCATCTTTTGATTATTTTTTCAAAGAATAAAACACTAGATAAAAATTTTCAACCCATAAAATCAAGTTGCTATCATTGTTAAAAAATTATTTTCATCAGCATCTCTTATTGGAATCCATATTGCCTTTTTTAATGAACACTTTTCTGAATTTATCATCGGCTTTGGGCTTTATCGGCTTATCAGGAACCCGGAAGCCCAATCAAGTGCTCCAACAGCTTCCTTTGAGGGAGGTGTTATCAGGCTCCTTGCATGCGGAACCTGCTCTGATATTTAAGTATTTCACATACACACAAATTAGACATAATTCCGTATAAGGTCATTAAATTACTCAAAAACAATGCTTCATACTATATATTTTATATTGACATTAATCAAATTATATTAAGGCGGATCTAAGGGATAGATGAGAGAAGCTAAACCTAAGGTGAAGCGAGCTGCGATAAGCGATAGTTTGAATGGGATCTTTATTTTTTGACATTTTCTTTCTACTTATCATCTCTACCCCAAGTAGTGGTGAAAATAGGCTAGGCCCTATCAAAGACCTACAACCTAAGCCACATAAAGCCTAATCTAACCTATTTAATAAATAGGTTAGACTCATATTTAGACCTATTTAAGCAAGTAGGCTGGGTCTATTTTCATAAGACTTAGCTTACAAGCCTATAGGCCTGTCCTATTTAGTTTTTTTTAATTAAATTTGTATTATTATATATTACGTAATATAAATCAATTTTATAAGTTATTTATAAATTTATAAATTTTAGTTTGATCTTATGTTTCACATCATAACATTCTTACATAAGATAAGCCCCCTTTTCATTTATCAGTCATTTACTTCTACCTCTCTTTTTATGGCAATGTAGCTCGCTTCCTCTCTCCTGATTTTTGTTGTTTGCTAAAACATAGCAATTGTTGTAAGTTTATTTTAGTAATGTCTAAATGAAATATTATAATATCAGTGGGAGGAGTTTGTCCAATTTAGATAGGAAAACTAAACGAAGTAAAATCCAATTTTACATGCCAGTTCTGTACTTGCTAAATTTTAGAAAATATATCTATTTAGTCAACAGATGATTAGTTTTTCTTATTTCTACTTGATTCAAAAATTGTTGTCACTATGCATTCTTTTCTTTTTCTTGTTAGACTCTTATATTGGAAGTGAGAATAGATTTTAGGTTTTTTAAGACACAGCATAGGTTTTAAAATAGGTTTGAAAGGTTATATATGAATTTAGGGGTATAGATTTTTAAACTTATTGAAAGGCCTACATTTTAAGTAGGTCTTTAAACAGGCTTCAGATTTTGTCAAATCCTTTAAAGGCTCAGGCTCATGCATTTAAAAAAAAAAAGAAAGAAAAAAAAAAAAGCCTATATGCAGGTATAAGTCCAAGCTCATGTTTTAGATATCTATTGCAGGCCTACTTAAGCTAAAATTTAGCCCAATCTAGCCTATTTCCATTCCTAACCTGGGGGAAATATATGAATTAGTTCAAATAATTAACTTGAATGAAGAATAAAAATGAGAAAGAAGTCAGATTTTTGATGAAATCAAAATCAAAGATCTGACTAGATTGAAAGAGTACAATTAGAGGGGTGTTTGGATATCCTAAAAAGTGCTTCTCAGAAGCACTTTTCCGTAAATCAAGATAAATTCATCTACATATTTACCTCGTAGACTGTAAAATTACTTCTGAAACCATAGTTTGATTTCCATCCAAACACCCCCTAGATTTGATATTCAAGAATCGGATTCTACGTGATAGTCCTCCCATCATCAGTTTATTTTAGCCAGTCAACAAGATATTAATCTCACAAATCATCAGTGATGACGATTAGACTCTTTTTTTTTTTTTTTAATGCTATCCATTTTTAAGACGGAACAGATCATTTAATCTTAACTACAGATATATTCCTTTTATTTTATAAGCTTACATAGACATTCTTGAAATTAACAGATACGCAACACAAACCTTCCTTTTGCTCTAAGAATTTTGTTTTTATGATTTTATTCATCCAACCGTTAATTAAAATTATGACAATTTCAACCAAAAAAAAGTGTTATACAAAGTAATACATTATAAAACACTAATCCTCTCAGTAATTTTTGTTCAAGGCCCTAAATTTCCTGACATGCACCGCTGAAGAAATTTTATTTTATTTTTCTTTGGTAATACACTCGAGAAATTTTATGATCTCTTGTGCTTTTTCTAATTGCCCAGCCCTTCCATACAGATCCACCATACTAGTGCTCCATCTCTGTTTCAATTCCATAGTTTCTCCCCTGGTCAAAAAAAATAAATTCCATAGTTTCTCTGCATAGCAATCAAGTGGTTCTCATCTTCTTCAACCAGACCTGCTTGAGCACATGCCGTTAACACATTTGCACATGTGATTTTGCTGGGCGTAAGACCAGCCTCTATCATCCTATTAAATTCTCTGAGTGCTGGGTTTGCAAGTCCATGCCTAGCGTAGCCACATATTATCGAATTCCATGACACCAAATTCTTCCTTGGAATTGACTCAAACACACAAAAGGCTGCATCCATATCCCCACATTTTGCATACATGTCAAGTAGTGAGGTTGATGCGATGATATCTTCTGGTGTGCCAGATTTGATGAAACTCTGATGAACTTGCTGGCCCATGAGAAGAGAGGAACAATCTGCACATGCGTTTAACACACATGAAAATGTGAAATGGTTGGGGCGACACTCTGAGTTTAACATCAGAATGAACAGTTCTATTGCTTCCAGAGATCTCATGTTTTGCACGTACCCCCTGATCATCGTTGTCCATGTCACCACATTTCTCTCCTTCATAGCATTGAATATGGATCGTGCTTTTTCAATTTGTTTGTTCCGGGTATTTTTTTCAGGCATCAAATCGGAAGTTCTTTGAGCATCAGCGAAGCTCCCAGTTTCCAGGTACCCAGAAAGTAAAATGTTCCAAGATGTAACATCTTTCGTCGGCAACTCATCGAACACTCCACCCAAAGCCTTCTCCTCTCCTAGACTCGCATATGCGGTGAGTAAAGCAGATCCAACAATCATATTCAAGTTAAGTGCCGTATGAACTGCTCGACCGTGAATCTGCTGGACCAAAACATCGAAATCAGTATTCACAACTGCTCCGAGTAATATGGATATGGTGTAGCCATCGGGTGCTACACCTACTCGTCCCATTTGCAAGAAACTATGGCATAAACCACGGATGTTTCCATTTTTTCGAAATCCAGATAACATGATATTCCACGAAACGACATTTTTAACGGGCATTTCGTCGAACAGATTCTTGGCAAGATGAAATTGATCATGCTGAATGTAGCGCTTCATCATCATGTTCCAAGGAACACAGCTCCACGACGCGGGGTTTTCGTCGAACAGCTTACGAGCTTTATCAATGTTATTGTTGCGTAGGCAAGTATCAATCTTTGAGGTAAGTTTGGCCGCTGAAAGCGTACAAAATTCGTGAGAAATTCTCAACGAGTAGAATCTGGTTAAGGCCCGCATCTCTTTCATAAGTTGGTGGAGATTGGTCCTGTGATCTACAAAGGGCCAAGGGACCAAGCCAAATCAGAAACCTAGAAGGAAGAAGACACAACCATCATGAGATTCAGGGATCACCCATGAAAGCTCCCCTAGTCTACGCAGAAGTAGGAAGCTGACACTTGATTAAGTCAGTCAGTTTGCTCGTCAAAAAAAAAAAAAAAAAAGTCAGTCAGTTTTATTAATTAATTATTTAATTTAAAGGGAACAAGGATG